CTCGGCTCGGAGAGGTACGCGCCGGGAGCGGGGCTGGGTCCTCCCCATCTACCACGGGCTCCTGATGCCTCCCAGGTTGGGCTGTGTTAGTGTAGGTGTCATCAATGCCCTTCGTTATTTTTTTTCTCTTTGAGATTGTGGCAAAACCCAGCTAAAGACATGAAGATGATCTGGCTGGTAGCGTGGACTCCAGCTGAACCAGAATATATTGACTCCCTCTGGCTGGGTGAGGGTGGATGGAGCTCTGCCGGCCTTGGGCTTGCTCCCTCACAGGCAGGGGGTGATGGCTGGGGTTTTTCGGGTGCTTTGAAGCCGGCAGGACTGGAGCGGAGAGGGTGCTGGCCAAGGGGCTCTGCCCTCCCGTGCCTGAAACCTGACTTTCAGGAACCAGGCTGCACCGACCCGGCTCAGCGTGCGATCCGGAGAGCAGCTTCAAGAGCAAAACTGCCCCAACGCGAGGGTCGTCCTTGGCTCTGCCAACCTCGCCAACCCACCTTGCAGATTTGCAAGCTTTCAGTTCAGACCTCAGGACTAAGAGCTGAGTCAGGCTTTTATGAGGTCTTGGATTTTGCTAGGGAAGCAAACTGTCCGGGAGCTCGCATGAGCTCGGGCCGGGCTGGGGGATGCTCTCTGCCGAGCCTCGTGCTGCCCGCAGGCTCTCGCCTCCTCCCCAAGGCCATGCCGATGCCTGACCCTCAGTAAGCGTAATTGCGGGCAGAAAGTGTGGGATGCTCCTCGCACCCCTCGAACGCCTGCATCCTCTACAAGGGTTGGTTTTTTTGCCTCTTTCCAGGAGATGCATGGGAAGAAGAGGTGGGAAGATTAGCAGCTGCTCAAACCTCTCCCCAGATACTCTCCCAACAGTGTGGGCAACGGGAAGATGGTGAGTGCTGGGGACAAAATGGCATGCCCCCCCCACCTCCGTGCGAGCCTGTCCCCTCCCGGGCTGCCTGTCATCTCGGGGGAAGTTCAGTGGCCCGTTTCTCTTGCTGACACGCTCTTCGGGGAGTGAGCCCGGCTGTTTGCCCATCTGGCATCATCAGAGGTCTTTGCAGGGAGGAGAAGTGGGCTGAGGCGGGAGAGCACAGGGGGACTTTCTATTTTCTACCTATTTTCCATTGGAGTGGACCCCAATTCTCTCTTTTCAAATGGAGGGGTGTGCTCAGCAGGGCACAAAGCTGTGCCAGGGACATGGTGGGACGGGGACAGGGTGACACGGAGCTGTGGCAGGGTGCAGGGGGTTAGGGATGCGGGCAAGTGGCGTAAAGCAGGAGCAGGGGGAGGTGACACAGGTGGTGCAGGGTGGCAGGAGGAGGTCGTACAGCTGGTGCGAGGGGTGGCAGTGACAGCGGCAGCAAGCCAGTGCTGGGCGTGAGGTGGCAGGTGAATGTGACACCAAGCCGTGGCAGGTGGTGAGGAGGTGACTGAGCGGTGCGGGGTCCTGGCAGAAGTGACAGCGAGCTGGGGCAGGTGGCACAGCTGACGCAGGGTGGGGATGGGTTGACACCCAATCTCTGCCGGGGGCACAGCTGGTGGGAGGTGTGTTACCCTGAGCTGATGCGGGGCACAAGGTTGCAGTGGCACCAGGCAGGTGGCGGGGACGTGACCCCAAGGTGGTGCAGGGTGGCAGGAACAGATGGCACAGCTGATGTTGGTCGGGGTGATGCGGAGCTGGTGCAGGGGGCAGGTGGCTCAGCCAGTGGTGGGGAGGTGACCCTGCGTGGGTGCAAAGTGGCACCGGGGCATCGGAAAGGTGGTCTATGGCAGCAGAGGCAGGCGGCAGAGCTGGGGACAGGGAGGTGACACTGCGCCAGGGAAGGAGGGCACATCTGGGAGCAGGAAGGTGATGCTGCGCCAGTGGAGGGGACACATCTGGAGACAGGGAGGTGGCCAGTGGAGGGGAGACATCTCATGTGGAGGAAGGGAGGTGATGCTGCGCCAGTGGAGGGGACACATCTGGAGACAGGGAGGCGACACTGAGCCGGTGCAAGGGGCACGTCGGGGGACCGGGAGGAGACGCTGCTCCGGGGCGGGTGGCAGAGCCGGTCGGGAGGTGACCGGTCGGCGGAGGTGACCCCGAGCCGCGCCGCGCCGT